TCCCAAATCACTGGAATTACAGGCAGTCACCTCCCACCTGGCTTTTCTCTTTCTCTCTCTCTCTGTTTCAGCCTCTTGTCTGTGTTTCTAACTTCTTGTTATGGAAAGAACAAGAAATAGGGAAAGGATGGCAAAGGCATAAAGAATGGGAGTTTTTAACTCTTGTCATTCCTGTTTTGAAAACAAGAGTCAACAGTTGAGCCTCTGCCTCTGGTAGCCCTGACTCAGGACCTAGCAAGGCCTCTCTTTGAGAGCAGAGGTGGGGCAGGTGTAGGCAAGCCTACCCATGGCAGCCAGCTCAGTGACTGAGCATGTGGCACCTCCTTCCACATCACAACACTCAAGGCTATTGTGACACTGCCTCCACAGTGACCTCCAGTGACTTATCATATCTGTTCTGGAAGTCTCTGCACTTGACCTTCGCTGTGACTATTACCTGGGTCCCAATCTTCTTGGTCTCCACATGTGTGTGTGTGTGTGTGTGTGTGTACATATATATGTTTATATACCTATATATGTATATATATATATATATATATATATATATATATATATATATATAAAATGTCAAAAAGTAGTTTTCTCCTGAGTACTATCAGCCCCCAATCTCTTCCCACCTGTGTCCCACGCAGTTCTGAAAAGAACTTTATCTGAAAGCTAAAATTAGCTTCCCTTTAAAATAGATCTCAGATGATTTAAGTTTGTTGAAGTTTTTTTTTTACTTAAAGAAAAGGTGATATTGAATAATTCTCCCTCAAATTTATGACACCAGTAGTTACAATTTCAAGTCTCCAGGCACTACTAACTATGAGTTAAACTTCTTAATTTGTTAGAGACTCTGTCTTTTCCCATCTCAGAAAACCCCCAATTGATTGCATGATATTATACACCCTCCTAACTCTTTTCAGTATTTTAAAAAACTTCCTTGTTGAGAAAGTTGTTCAAGTGCCAATTGCAGAATCACTTTCTTTCAAGGGCTTTTTGTTCATTTTGTTTTGTTTTGTGTCTGGTGGTGCACACTGTAGTCACAGCTTCTTAGGAGGGTTGCTTGAGCCCAGGAGTTTGAGACCAGCCTGGATAACATAGCTGTCTCAAAAAACAAACAAACAAACAAAAAACCATAAACTCACATGTACTATAAGCCAATCGTATGTATCAAAATTAATCTTCTGTTAATCTTAAATCCCAAATCTCTTTTAATTATATATGCAAAGTTCAGTACACAATTAAAAGATACATTTCATATTATATTTATTTTCTTCTATCCACAAATAAAAACATATATTACCTACATCATTATATTTGAAAATAGTCTGGAAAAGGTTATTTTCATGTTGAGTTGAAGACAGACAAAGATTTTTAAATTATATATTAGATATATATCCAAAGACAAATTAAGCCTTACATACTTTTGAAAAGAAATGGATAAAATATCCTTTATAGAAGATGTCTGCCACTGAAATGGAATCTCATTTATTATTACTAAAATGAGACAAACTTGAAATATTTGGCAGAAAGAATTTCTGGGCAGTTTTTAAAAATGACATATCTCCACTAAAATTACAACTGTCTTTCTTTATACTTTGACAGGAAAAGAAAGGAAGTTGGATAATTTATGTTAAATATTATATATTCTAAATGTACCTTTTACAAAGTTTCAGAATGAAACTGAATAAAAGAAAGAATTAAGTGTTTTAACAAACATGCAATCCTTTTGACTAGTTCAAATCCACTGTGATGCACTTCCAAACTAAAGGACTTATTACCATGGATTAATTTAAGATTGATGATGTGCCTTGATCCATATGACTTAGCTCTTAGAAAATTAACTTTATGGTCAGGAAATTATAAAGAATAAAATGAAAGAAAAGACTGTAGCTTGGGACAATGTCTGGATTTCATATTATTTTTGTTCTGGGTATCTGAACTGCCTTCAGTATGGCCACGTGTTGAAGCAAATTGAAAGCTCTTCAATTGCCAAATCAAGGAGACACTTCACATGTAATTTTCTCATTGTGTAATATATTTTCTGTCATGGTATCATGTTTTTTTATTTTTTTATACCTTTATTTTATTTATTTATTTTTATGTGGTGTTGAGGATTGAACTCAGGGCCTCGCATGTGCAAGGCGAGTGCTCTTACGCTGAGCCACAACTCCAGCCCAGAATCATGCTTTTTAAATAACACTTTTTCTTATACAAACCACTGAAGTGTCTTGAATGTATGTAAATCTGTTGAAATAGTCTTTGCCTTTTGCACTTCTAACAAAGAAAAACTAATACACACTAAATTTATTATTTTGTTCACTACTTATAAAAACAATTGGCTTTGAATGGATATTTGTGTGTGTCTGTGTGTGTGTGTGTGTGTATTTGTATATGTCAAATGGTAAAATGCTTAGCTTTGGATCTCATACTCATGCTTTCGGAAAAATTTGGAGCATCTGCAAGTATTCCTCAGTTGCTCTGTAAGAGTTAGGTTACTATTTCAAAGTGAGTACATAGGCGGAATTGCAACCCTAAATTGCCTGTCATCAACCCTCAGAGAGCGAGGTCAGAATGATGGACCAATGAAAAATTGCAGTTGTCCAACCCTGGACATCATTTTGAGTTTTGCCTTTTAGTTTTCACTTTTTTTCTTCTACTAGATTACTGTACTTACTATTTTCCTATTTTTCTTACCTTTTGTAGGTCCTTATTTTTAATCTGTCCTATAAGAGTGAACTAGTGAAATCATAAGAGGCAGGGACATAGCAAGTGTGACTTTGTGTTTAGTCTTTTAACCAGGTTGAGCCTCAGTTTTTCTCATCTGCAAGATGGGAATATACCACTTACCCTGCATTATTGTGTGATAGTTAGTGACATCGTGCATAACAGCATTCCCCTTAGTTTTGTATGTTTCAAATTTTCCTTAAAGTTCTTTTACGAAGCCCATACTGTTGTCACTTTTCCTCTCTCAGTTACCATTGATTCGACTCAGGTCCTCGTCTCCTCCACTCTTGACACTGCCTACTCTGCTTTCAGTTTTGCCCCTTCAAAACTCTCAGTCCCTTATAAATCTGTCATAATGGCTTAAAAGTTCTTAACTAAGTATCAGTTTTCTGAGTCTTTTAAATTTCCTAACTGCATAAGAAAGCAAAAGCCATTGGAATATAAATAATATTTACTATTACTAATTATAGACTACTAGATTTATCGAATTTTAAGCTAAACTCATTCTGAATATCTGAACATCAGTCACTTAATCCTCAAATAACATTATGTATGGACTATCATCTCCATTTTACAGATGAAGAGACCAAGAGAAAGAGAAGTTTAATAACTTGCACAAGTGTATATACCTAGAACATGGCGGGGTCAGAAGTCCAACTCTCACTCCCATCAGAAAGTAAAATCCCAGGCTTTTCTTACATGTACAAGGGCTCAGTGATCTGCAGCCTGGCTCACCACCTGCCACTCTTCTTGCATTTCCTGCCCTGCAATGCATTTTCTAGAATCGCTCAGCTATGCATTGTAGCTCCTCGAATGTGTCATATTCTTCCTCACTCAGATGATTCCTCTGCCTCTTTGGCTTTGTCTCCTCTTGCCAGCTGCCTCTGGGACACTGGCTCTCTTACTGCTTCAGTACACTGGCCTACTTCACTCTGGGCCATTCTTCTAGGAAAGAGCCTTTCTGGGTTTGGCCTCAGAAGACCTTTTTGGACTGACATCCTGGAGCTACCATTTATTTGCTTCTAGACCTTCTGATCTCTTTGAACCTCCATTGCTTCCTCTATAAAATGATGGTAAAACTTGATGTCCAAACTTCATAGCACGTAGGATTCTATGAATAAAAGAATAACAGATGTCCCTTGAAAATGTGGTTCTGGAACCAATGGAAAGGAAAATGACACATGCCTCTTTTGAAGTGTTTTTCCTTTTTTTTCTTCAATTTTCCACATTTTGACTTTCAAGAGCTCTGTATAATTTGATGGTGACCACAGCAATTAGTCTCTTTGTCACTGGTGATCCATGGCGAACATTCTCCCTGTGCTCTTTATGCTGTACCACATTTCGTAAGTGTTGTTTTAGGTCACTCGGGTTCTTTTCAGATTGTGCATGAGCAAACAGACAGGTCAATTGCACTATTTTCAGTGAAAGTAATGTTCAGGAAGCTTTCTGTGCAGAATAAATGCTTACACTTGATTCAAGAGCTTTGGCTGTCTAGATCAAGAAGTAGCCCATGAAGATAGGGACATGCTGCTGTTGAACTATTTATGCTAGGAAATACCAAGAAATAATTGCAGGCCCAAGTTTCTCACTTTCTTCTAAGTAGAACATTGCACAACTTTTCTTGACTTTCTCTATCCCTCCAAGCCACGTCATGCTGACACCTTGCTCCTATATCGCAGGCCTGGTGTGGCTGAGGTTGCTGTAGCAACAGCACACATGGGGTAACATTCCCCTGTAACTATGGTGGCTGAGACATGAGTCAGTTGTAAAGTTTCAAGGGGTTTTTATTAGTATATGATGCAGTCCCATGTCATCTATAGTTCCTGGCTTGTCCAACACTTCCAGAGGATGATGCAGAACACGCAATGCTAATCATCTTCAAATACATGGGCCAGGGTCCTCTCACAAAAGCTACTGAGGCTGCTGGTTCCTTCCACAGCACCCCTGACTAATAAGTATACTAAGAGGGAAGAGTAAAACCCAGGATCCAGCACTGGAACTGTTTCTACCATAGTGTACCCTGTTAGCCCCAAAAGGCAATAGTGACACTGATGGATGATGGAGTCCCTCTTTTCACCTAGGTAGCTGGATAATGGTTCAAAATCCAAGAAGATGCATTTTCAACCCATTGCCTGAGAAGAAGATGTGCTGAAGAATAAGGATGGAATTATTGTAATTCTCTGTGGGGATTTATGAAACTTAACATTGGAACTTAACATGGAATATTGATTAAAACTAGTCGTAGAGTTGTCGATGACTTCTAACACGGGATTTGGTTTATTTTTCAGACATGGAGATGACTTGATTGTGACTCCTTTTGCTCAGGTAAGCATACCTCATTGAGCAGGCCGACTTCTCACAGATCTGGAAATTGGTTTGGGAGGATTTGTTCTATTGCTCGATTTAGTTTTAAAGTAAATGAAATTATAAATACAAATTGTGTGGTTCATTCAAGTAATTCATAGGCAATGCTAGAAAATGTGACTTTGGACCTAGAGATCTGTTTTCTTTAAACTGTGGTAGACCCAAAGATTGTCTTTGCTTCAAATAACAAATTACCCTAGAGATAGAGAAGATAAATACGCCCATATTTCTTAACTGATACAGGCATTAGCTATATTGTGGATTAAATTACATTTAATAAAATGAGGTACATGATCATTGCTTGAAATTCAATCATACAGTTCAACCTGATACCTTATTTACTCCTTTATACACGTGTCATTGGCACAAAGATTTAGCCCAGTGATCTGTGTTTGTTTACAGCATGCAAATCATGAAAATACTTTGATCACATGACATAGATGCAAGAAGGTGATGAGATGATTTGAAGTATTCTGGAGTGATTCTCAACCCTAGATGCAAGCGAGACTCACCTACAATACTCATCCCGATGCCCAGGCTTGCATGCCTGTAGATTTCAAATAATCTGGAGATCCAAGAATTTTTATTTTTCAAAGGCCACAGTATTTTTACTGTGTGTAAGAGAAGTTGACAGCCCCTGATGTAGATAACTAGGGATAGAATAGGATGAAACTTATTTAAACTGGGTCATGAAGCAGATTTAAAATCAATACTGACTGAGAAGAAATGTTTAAATGTTGAAATACAAACAGTGCTGAGAAGTTATACAAATTATAACTAGAGGTAGGTCAGAAATAGATGTAGCACCTTGAGCAACTCATTTAACTTTTCTGAATGACTTTGAGGAAGGCACTGAACTTTTCCAAGTCTTACTTCCTCCTCTGTTAAATTATAATTGCAGGAGTACCCACCTCATAAGATGTTAAAAGATTAAAATAATACTGGTCATGCAAAATATTCACAAGAATTCTAAAAATTTTAATGTTTATTAAATTTTAATTAAAACTGGTTTAATTGTATATAAATGAAATTGCTCTTTTCTTTCTAAATGTCATCTTAGGTATAATTTTTTTAAATGAATAATAATAATGTTGGAATGATGTGATTTTGCAGTTTTAATTTTTAAAAAATTTCTAAAATAATTTAGACCACAATTGTAATTAATTTATAAATAAAATGTCTAATGGTGATTTTAAAAATTAATGCAGGTGGGCTAGGGTCATATCTCAGTGGTAGAGCACTTGCCCGGCATATGTGAGGCACTGGGTTTGATTCTCAGCACCACACATAAATAAATACAATAAAGGTCCATTGACAACTAAAAAATAATAATAATAATGCAGGCAATTAAGAACAGATGATGATCACCATCCATTCCATATGCTCAAGTCCTTTTGCTGGAGATCATGAATTCTTTCTAGTGCTTGTATTTCTGTGTCAAAAAAATTTACACTCTTACATTTTAATCATATTTGTGATAGCAAACTTTTAATGAAACAGTTTGTAATTAATTCCTATTGAGAATTTATAATTTTATAACTAAGAGCTGAGAGCTAGATGAACAGGCAAAATCAGGTAAAACAATATTAAACAACCATCACTAAATGTAGAACCAATCATCCCATCATGAGTTTACTCAGGTAGCTAGCTAAAACTCTAGATATTATTGTAAGAAAAATAAATCTAAGTATGTTGTAAAAAATGGAAAAAAATCTGTATGTAATATCTTGGCTTCTTACTTCAAGTAATATTTAATAATCTCTAACAGATTAATAAATTTAACTTGGCTCCTGCCTTCAGTTAAATTCTAAAGAAGTCTAGCCTTTTACATGATTAGACATTTATAGTGTACCTATAATCTCCAAAACAACTACTCAAATTTCTCTATATTGGGACGTTTATACATATTTTATATACAAAACATCATTTAGCCATAAATGTTTTTTTACAATGATTAATACCCTTGAAACTGGAACTTTGAATATAAGCTAACTCTTTGTAATATTCAGATATATCTGATGCCTAAAAATAATCTGAAATATACTTAAGGAGATTTTACTTATTATCAACTGAGGGACTCATTCACCTTGCTGAAGGTGGTCGTTGCCCCAGGGGCTGTGAATTCTTTTTAAGTGGCTTCACCACAGTTTTCATAAATGGATTTTTCCTGGGGTATTAGATCTGGGAAGCTGTACTAAAATATAAGAAAGAAAAGGCATTTTAATACTGAGCAGTTTTAGCACTGATGGGGTATCATTGCAGAAGCAGGTAGACCAAAAGCCCAGTTAGTGCCTGATCTTTTCTTAAGCCATGTTGGGTCCAACTGGCATATATTGTTGACTTAATTGTCATCTCCTCAGAAAAAGAGTGTGTAATACAGGGCAGAGCACTTACCACTTAATGTTAAATATTATAATTCCAAAAATGGGATATATTTATATTGCTTGAATTTATGCCAACATAATTTGTCCTGCTATACCATAACTGATTTTAGCCAACTTGCTCAGGAAAATGTCTTATCAAGTAGGCCAAAGACTCATACCCTCTTCCTACCATGTTTTGGATTCATAATTTCACACTAAATTTTGGTGAAAATTTGCAGGGAGGCCTGAGGTTGTGGCTCCATGGTAGAGCACTCGCCTAGCATGGGTGAGGCACTGGGTTTGACCCTCAGAACCACATAAAGATAAATAAATAAAGGTATTGTGTTCATCTATAACTAAAGACTATTAAAAATAAAATAAAATTTGCAGGGATAGCCACATTGCTCTCAAGATGTTTCTGCATACAAACTTTAGAAAAATTAATATAAGCAAAAGGAAGAAAATTTCCCACAATTCACAATCCCCAAACAACTACTGCTCACATTTTTTTTCTTACTTTCAATCCATTTAGGTTTGTTTTTTCTGGGTGTTACGACTTTCCTTATGATCTTAAAAACAAGCCACTATTGTCCAAAATGGTCAAGGACCTTCCTCCAACCCATCTCATCTTCGTCTTCTTGAGAACCCATTTCTTTAGGCCTGAGTGCAGCCCCGAAACATGAAAGGATCCTGCCCTATTATTTCTAAATTATGGCCTTTTGGGTTTTGAAAAGAATAAAATACTAAATTACAAGAGAATTTAGGAAGTCACAAAAAGATATATCCCATTTTGTTGGATGGAGCTGAACCTAGAACATCTTGGTTAGGCCTAATTTTCAGGAAGGATCTTACAAATCCCTCTATGTTTTATTCTAATGTTAAGACACCGTTAGAGTAAAGTTTTTGCTAGGGGTCAACCTGAACTGTCTTCTACCTCTGGTGGCTTAGACTTTTCCATATAATTTCAGAATCTCTTTGAGCCCCAGAAAAAGTTCCAACTTTAATTAGTTTGTATACTTCAATTTCAAAACTGAAATTCTGCTTTGAGTATTTCCTGGTATGAGTATTCTGGTGTGAGTATTTCCTTCGGCACAGAGACTTGAGTGTTGAGAGCGACCCTACTGCCCTTTTCCTCCCACAAGAATAACAACTTGGCCAGAGTTCCTGAGGGCCCAAGAGCACCAAGGAAGCACAACACTGCTGAATACTGGAGTCAGCCGTCTCTGGCCTTCTAATTCCACTGTTTGCAATTATGACAACCTTGTAAAACTCTAAGTCTCCTGGAATTCTCATCTGGAAGTCTGTAATATTGAAAGAAGTGGAATCTTTGATGAAGCAAAAGACAGGAAACCCCCACCCAAACATTATCCTGACTCCCTGGGGAGTGCCTCACATCAGTCAGTCTAGAGAGACATGCCCAACCCATGAAGACTAGGCAGGAATACCCACATTATTTTGCCTTCTCTGAACAAAGTACAGCACCCAGAATACTTTTAGGAAACAATATAGTAGTTATTAATACTGTAGAACATTAATTATAGTAGTAGGACATTACCAATATTTTTTAAAATATTTCACCCCACAGAGATTTTTATGATCTCATTACAGTCCCTAAGTTTGCTGAACCCACCAGGCCCTCTCTGTGAAGCAATGGAAGAAAAGAGTGATCTCGTTTCAGGTGCTTTTATTCCCCCAGCATTTCCTTGGACTTGATTAATGTAAATGGCAACTAGCATCTTTCTAGATATCTGAACTCTTACAGTCATTCATAGGAAATTGCCAATAACTTTCTGACATAACCAAAACAATTTCATATGGTTCAACAAAAACATAAGTGGAAAGAGATTTTCTTTTCTATCAAAATACATTTTTTATCTTGTACATAATTCTAGGTTGGCTCCAGCATTTCTTCTGAAGTTAAAACCTGGATCAGGAATACTTTCACTTCACGCAGGATACACCCACCCCACAAGAATCTCAGTCTGTGTTTTACCGCCACCTAGTGGCTTAAGGTGTACCTGAATTGAAAAACAATCCTCAAAACTCTCCTTGAGGCTGTTCATTACTGATTCATGAAGCCCACATTTTTCTGTCAATTTTGGTAAATCCTACTGATCAATAGATGTTTAAGATCACATAAAGAAGTTTGAGAGCTCTTTATAAATAACATCCCACCCCACAGGCCAGTATACGGATCATCTCTGTCTACAATGTTTCTGTAGTACTATCAGTATTTCTTTCCTAAGGTGTGTGTTTCTCATCATTCCGGAGGTATTTTTGATCTTGTTCTGTTACATTTTACTTGTAGGAGAAGAAGAGAAAGCAGTGACCTTAATTTTATGCCACTGAGCCACATGGAAGAAACCTCAGGGATTTCTTTGGTTAACAACATTAAGAAGGGAAGAAAATTATAGGGGCAATAAAGCTCTGACTATATCTCTTAGAGAGCTGAATTCATGGGGAGGGAGAGCAGCCCTGGAACAAAAGCAAAAAATAATGGAACCTTAACTCAGGGGCTCCAGTAAAACTATTTCCATTTCTTCTCCCCAGCAGCAGTTACCTACCTCTTTATGTTCTGCAAAGACAAACCCAGTGATATTTAGGATAAGGATTCCCCAGGAAGCACCCCTTAAAAGATCTGTCTGAAACTTTTATTTATACTTTGGCAAATATAAACTTTTATTTATACTTTGGCTAAGGATAATATTTAACACTTAATCTAAAAATTTATAAAATACTGCTTGTCCTACCACTGAGAGAGAGAGAGAGAGAGAGAGAGAGAGAGAGAGAGAGAGAAAGCCACAATGACTTAAGACTTGCACACACAGGGAATGATGTATCCTAGGGCTATTTACTACAGCAGTGTTTGTAAAAGCAAACTGTAAGACACAACCTCAAAGTCAGTCTCAGGGACTGGCAACTGGATGCCTGAAAGAGGGACTGGGATGGGGGAACTTTTTCTTCCATTTTTATTTTTTGTTTGTTTTGAGATAGTTCATACATATGAAAGAATATATCTAGTGATTATATAGAGCATAAATCATCATCATCATCATCATAATGAACAGTTTAAGAAATAGAACAATATGAATATTTTAATGCCACTGAAGTATCCCTTTCCATGTTCATCTATCGCATAAATAACAATAATTTTGATTTTGGCTTAATTATTGAGATGAGACTTTTTGCTGGATAGTTACGTTTCTACTTAAAGTCTACAGCAAGCAAATGTATGATTTATTCAAAATAAATACATAAAACTTAAAATCCCAAACAAAATAATCCAGTTTAAAAAAAATAAAAAACAAAACAAAAAAAAAATCCAGTTTAATATCTGTATTATTATAACACAGGCAAAAATTCTCTACAGAAAATATTTCTTTTATGAACTAATGTTTCCTTTCATGAATTAATTTCCTCTCAAATGAGCATGGAATATGATTTACCTACAATATCATTTCTATTTACCAGCTGTCAAATGCAGTTGAATTTACAACAGCATATTATGATAAAATCCTCAGAATTCTGAAGTTAAAATTTTTGCCTAGAAAAGGGATCAATTAGCTGGTGCAATAATCTTATTTAAAATGCTTTTCAAATGTGTTCAGTATTCACTTCTTAAAATATAAATTAAGTCTGCATGATTTAATGACAGTGGATCATTTATCCAATTTATTTCTGCATCAGTCAAGATTCCATGCCTGTTGAAAGACATCGTAGTCTGATGTCAGCAGTTAGCTATTTGAATATTCTGTCATAGGCAGTGTGACCTTTCAGAGCTGTGGGTTGTTTATGTGTGGTAATGAGCCACGATTTTCCAGTGACTGAGTTAATCATGGTCGGCTCTTTAGGAAGCACCACAGATTCCTTCAGGGGAAATGCTGTAGGTCACTGTCCCAATGCACAAACTTCCATTGATCAAATTAATTAATGTCAATTTTTTGTTTTTTGAAGTCTGAAACGTTTTTGTCTTGGAAAAAAATATAAACTGACTCTAGATCCATGCCAGATGAAAAAAAAAAAAAAACAACTCTGGAGACAATTCTGGAGCCCTTAGAGCAATTAGAATTTGGGGGGCCCCTTGTAGTACCACTCATAGTCACTAAATAAAGTCCCTGTATGTGTGCCAAATCATTAATCAAGTGAAATGCTACCCCAATGAAATCACACAAACTGAGGGCTTTTTCTTGACACCTAACCTGTCATTTCTTATAATTCATACTCCAATCCTGTGAGGTAAATATCAGTTACAGTTTGTATTTAAGGAAACTGAGGTATAGAGAGGCTTACATAACTTGTTCAGGTTCACACATTTAATACTTAACAGATTCAGGCAGCCTGGTTTGTTGTGCAATACCCTAGTACTTACCAAGACACATTTTAGATAAATTTAGCATTCTGGTTCACATCCAGAACACCTATAATTCCACCTAATTTAGGATCCACCCTGAGGAAAGGAGCCCATTCTAGGAAAAAGCCAGAGGCAGTAGATTCATGCAACTTTTCTCTCCTAGGCTCACTTCCATTCCTTGGCCACCTTCTAGTCCCGACTGGAATTAGGAAAGGGGGCTATCAGAGGTGGTGGCATCGTTTTCCTGCCTTGTCATATGTGTAGATACATTTCATCTAGGTATTCATTCATACGATGCCATTTTATTGAGTATTTTCTGTGTTCCAGGAAGTGTGTGTATGTATGTATGTATCTCTCTCTCTCTCTCTCTCTCTATATATATATATATATAGATAGATAGATAGATAGATAGATAGATATAGATATAGAGATATAGATATAGATAGAGAGAGAGCAGTTGCATTTTATGTGAGAAATACTTTCTTGGGGACTTCTTGTCATTCACAGTCTTAACCAAGGAAAAGACCATCTGTGCACTAGCTGGTACAGACACATGGCAAAGCTGAAAAGCGATCTAAGATTTACTTAGCTTACTGACTGCAATATGGAACTCTTGGTTAATTCTTTTTTCTTTCTTTCTTTCTTTCTTCTTCTTTTTTTTAGTTGTAGATGGACACAATGCCTTTATTTAATTTATTTACTATTATATAGTGTTGAGGATCGAAACCAGTGCCTCATACATTCTAGGCAAGCACTCTACCACCGAGCCACAACCCCAACCCTCTTGGTAAATTCTTAAAAAGAATTTTGGAATAATTTTTATTTTTATCCTTAAAGTAAGCTTCATTAGTATTTTATATTACGCTATTTCATATATGCATAAAATGCAACACACATGTTGCTTGGGATATTGTGTTAGTGACTTGGGAATACAGGAATGCTATGGAGACTGCTGCTGCTGTGACCACATTTGTAGATAATGAAAAGGGATTTCTGGAAAATTTTGACAGTGTGATCTCTGTGGATTTCACATGGATGCATACAAGGTTTGCTAAGTGCTAGTAGATTCTTTAGTGGTATATGAAATTAAGTTTTAAGCATTATCAGATTTCCTCTTAACAAACCATTCTTAATTGCATTTAAGATGACCCCAGTTTAAGACATCTCAAGAATTTCTTTTTGTTGTAGGTCTTAGCCAGCCTGCGAACTGTACGAAACAATTTTGCTGCATTAACTAATTTGCAAGATCGAGCGCCTAGCAAGTAAGTTATTCTTTATTCCCTCTTTTTGCTGAGCTTTTAAAGAATGTCATCTCAATTTGAATTGAACTCAAGACAAAATATTAAATTTCTCTGAGTCACTGCCATGCTATCTAACCATGGACATTAACAAGACATCAGATGAGACCCTGCTAATTCACTATAAATATAGAGTGGTGGTGATTCTAACATCAGGGATGAAACAGTATGACAAATCAATATGGTGATTCTGTCAGAAATTACCTGGCGTGATTTGTCTTCTGGCCAGTTATTTATACTCAAAGTAACTTTATAGTTTTGGCTTATTTCATAAATTAGCCACAGGCAAATAATCTCATCACGCCTTAATGATATCTCAAAGTCATACTGTTAATTCTAAGACAACAATTAACTGGAAAAACACCAGATCTCAACAAAGATCTTTGATTCTCCTGCTGTGATTGACTCTCTGAGCAGCAGCATTCATGAGGCAATTAACAAAATTGAGATTGATGTAATAACAATAGAAGTGTTTGAGGGAGGGAAACTTGAAATGGAAAATGATTTAAAATTGGGGGATTTTGGAGCTGGGGCTGTAGCTCAGTGATAGAGTGCTTGCCTAGCATGTATGAGGCACTGGGTTCGATCCTCAGCACCACATAAAAATAAAAAACAAATAAAATAGAGATTTTCTGTCTACCTACAACTACAAATTTTTTTTTAAATTGGAGGATCTTGATAAATCTAAAAAATCGAAAAGAAGGAAGTAAATTTTGCAAAATTAAATGAGAAACTGATAAAATATTATTCTAATATCTGTTATTTTTTAAAGTATTATTTATAATAAAGTGTTAAGATTATCAGCCTGGAAGAATTTTCCAAAGCAAAACAAAAAAATCAAATCAATATTAAGAGGACAGTGAGTAGAAATTTATTAGGGATTATGGTATATCTGAGTCTATAATATTTTATACTAGTTACTACTTCTTAAAGAACATGAAAAAACTGAACTTTTCCACTCCATAATAACATAATTTACCTCTACAATCCGCATTTCCCTGATTCACTAGAAGCTATTATGCAAGTACTTCCTGTGATAGAGAAAGCTTTTCTAAAAAAAAAAAAAAAATAGCAAAAGTGCCACAACACAAATAATTGAGATGGAACCTAGCACCCTGGGCCGATTGTCTTTCCCTCAGCTTGAACATTTACCTTCTCCTTCTTCTTTTCCACTTGGCTAACTGATTCATTCTTCTCATCACAGCTTAAATATAATTGCTTTGGGGGCACTGTCCCTCACACTGCCAGATATAGACACACAGTGACCAGCCCTAGCTGGCTGGCATGTCTTTCCTACTCCGTCTGGTTGCATCCTGTTATTCAAGCACATTTCTCCCTGTGCCCTACTTGCCTGATCAACTGGTTGATCCTCAGCAATGTCAGTTCCCCAAGAGCAGGGGTGTGGCTGGTTCACATTCCCAGTGCCTATCAGAACACAAAATAATTCCTCTGTTTTAGTCAGATTTTTCATTGCTGTGACCAAAATACCTGACACAAACTATGGAAGAGGGGAAACTTATTTGGGGCTCACTGATGGTTTTAGAGGTCTCAGTCCACAGATGGCTGACCACTGGGCCCAAGATGAGGCAGAACATCATGGTAGAAGGGTGTGGAGGAAGAAAGCAGCTCAGAACATGGCCAACAGGAAGCAGAGAGAGCCAAAGAGCTCCATTTACCAGAGACAAAATATAAACCCAAAGGCACACTCCCAGTGACCAGTCTTCGCTAGCCACATCCTACCTGCCTTCAGTTACCACCCAGTTAATCCATTTCAGGGGTTTAAATTACTAATTAGGTTACAACTCTCATTTCACCTCATTTGCATTTTCTCACACACGAACGTTTGGGGGACACCTCATTTCTAAATCTCTGCAAATGCTTGTTGACTGAAAGTGTAAAGTGGCTGTTCAGCATTTAAAGCCTGAGGGTGTGCCATGAAGAAACCATTTATCTCCAGTTGTGTTGTCTATACAACATGGCCAGTTGTAAAACATCAGGCTGACCTCAATAGCCCTGAGGCCTTTGCTAGTCAGTAGGTTATGGGTACAAACATAACCTTCTAGAACTTCTTAGCTCTGAAGGAAAAATGAAATTATTGGTTGCCACTAAACTTGCAGTCTCAAATTTCAGTAAGAAATCTAGGTCTTGTCTCTAAAAGGCAAACAAGAAACTAATGCCCTGTAAATTTCCTTTGGATGTGGTCACCTGAGTGCAAGCATTTAATATAACAGACACTTAATCAAACAGGTGTGAAGGTATCACACTGGTCCTTCTATCTCCAAAGAAATGTCCTCAGGCCCATTCTATACAAGGCAGAGGTTCTCAACTGATTTACAGGCACATAATATATTAAAATGGAAAGGAGGGAGTGAGAAAATCATAGCTAACACCTGAACTTACACCTGCTTTGACTAACTATGCAATGCCCATGGAGACATTGAATTACAATATCATCTGGTAGACTCTAAGTGAAAGCCAGTGCATGGTCTCCTTTTTGGTCAATGCAGATTTGTACCTCCTTTATTAATTCAAACCAAATCAGCTTCCTGGGGTGTCGGAATAGTAGAATTCAATCTCAACACAGCTGGACTCTGTTGTGCTTGGTATTAGCAAAGAGGATGTCACTGGTATATGGCATGATGACTCTGAAAGAATCAGGATTCAATTGCCCTGCACTCCCTGTGCCACTAGAATGTTTCCAAGCTCACTGTTGGAATTTGAAGAAGACCTGTGCTGCCTTTCACAGACTACCTTTTTATTTGCTTTAGGAAAGGAGTCTAGGAAGAACTCATCTAAGAACTTTTTTTTTTTTAAATTTGCTTTAGGGTAGGTGTCTAGGAAGAACTCATCCAAGAGCTCTGGTGTTAGCCCACTAATGGTTTCTTGTGATCTTCTTGCTCTTTTGTGCCCTTTAGACTTTTTTTTATTCCAAGAATAAATTGTGGCTCATTCTTTTTAAAAATAATCTGTCAAGTTACCATGAATTCAGTGATTAATATTTTCTGCTTGTTACTTATCAAGATGTCAAGTTCCCAAGTGTCAGTGGTAGGATTGATAAAATGAGAATTAGTAGCAAGTTAACCATTTGGTTTTCCAAAACTATAGAAAAGGATAAATGTTTATTTGTATTTTCCCAGACAAAAAGTCAATGTTTTCAAAATTTTCACAGAGCAAGGACTAAAAAACATTCTCAGACATCAATATTGAAGTCATTTGAATAAACTCTAGTCTATAACTATATCATCCTGAATATCCCCAAACTCATCTGAATAATAAACTCTCAGCAAGAAGGTAACTACTAGTATAGAAAACAGAGCTATTTCAAAGCAGCAGTTTAAAACATTGACCTTTTTTAAATGAAGCATTTATCAAGTTCAAATTTATATTTTTAATTTCTTCTCTTTCTCTCACTTCTTTGGTGCTGGGGATCAACCCAGAGCCTTACACATGCTAAGCAAGTGTTCTACCACTGAGCTATATCCCAGCCCCGACTTTTATTTTTCATAATTTAAAAAAACTAAAATAAGTCAGAAGTGAATCATGGTGTATTTTCAATCAAACACAAAAATTCAATCCCAAGCTGACACCAATAAACTTAAGAGCAATGACCCAGAGCCAGACGCTGAATAGAACGAGTGAGAATTTACAAAATACCAAAGTGCTTTCTGTAAGCATCCCCCCAGACCTGCTAGGATAGTCGTCATCTTCAGCATTAGAGAGTCTGCTGCCAACTGCACATCTGTGTGGTTATCCATTCGGCTTCCACAAAAGCATCCCAAGCTAAGACAAAGAGTAGAGTAGAGTACAGCCCTAGAGTCACATTACCTCAAATCTCTGCTGGTTTGGAACAGATTTTCAACTTCCCAAAGATTTGTTTTTCTCACTGGTAAAATGAGAACAATGATTCTACCAGCCTTGAGGCTTTTTGTCAGGGTTAAGTGAGATAATTCATTTAAAGTGCTCACTTAGTATAGCGTGTGACAGACACTAAGTGCTTATTAAGTGTAGCCACTAGATGAAATACACACACACACACACACACACACACACAGCCCCAACTATTTTACAGATATCCCTTAATGTATCTATTTTTTTTTTTTTTTTTTTTTAATTTTTTATTGTGGGTTGTTCAAAACATTACAAATTTCTTGACATATCATATTCCACACTTTGATTCTAGTGGGTTATGAACTCCCACGTTCACCCCATACACAGATTGCAGATTCACATCAGTTACACATCCATTGATTTACAAATTGCCATACTAGTGTCTGTTGTGCTCCGCTGCCTTTCCCATCATCCACCCTCCCCCCTCCCCACCTCTCCCCTCCCCTCCCCTCCTCTCTCTCTACCCCCTCCACTGTATAACCCTGAGGGTCTCCTTCCATTACCGTGCAATTTACCTTCTCTCTCCCTTTCCCTCCCACCTCTCATCCCTGTTAAATGTTAATCTTCTTCTCCTGTTCTTCGTCCCTACTCTGTTCTTAGTTACTTTCCTTATATCAAAGAAGACATTTGGCATTTGTTTTTTAGGGATTGGCTAGCTTCACTTAGCATAATCTGCTCTAATGCCATCCATTTCCCTGTAAATTCTATGATTTTGTCATTTTTTAATGCAGAGTAATACTCCATTGTGTATAAATGCCACATTTTTTTTATCCATTCGTCTATTGAAGGGCATCTAGGTTGGTTCCACAGTCTTGCTATTGTGAACTGTGCTGCTATGAACATCGATGTAGCAGTGTCCCTGTAGCATGCTCTTTTTAGGTCTTTAGGGAATAGACCAAGAAGGGGAATAGCTGGGTCAAATGGTGGCTCCATTCCCAGCTTTCCAAGAAATCTCCATACTGCTTTCCAAATTGGCTGCACCAATCTGCAGTCCCACCAGCAATGTACAAGTGTACCCTTTTCCCCACATCCTCGCCAGCACTTCTTGTTGTTTGACTTCCTAATGGCTGCCAATC